TAAGTCCGTAGGCGATCGATGAGGACCAGAAAACCAATAGCGTAATCGGTTACGACATGAAATTAATATGGAATAATCGATTATGACAGGAAAATAAAGGCGGTTTAATCGATTCTGACATTAAAAAACATGGCTAATCGATTATTACCTTAAAATAAGATTGCATATCGATTACGACATGAAAATAATATGGAGTAATCGATTACGGCGTGAAAATAAGATGGTCTGATCGATTACGTCATTGAAATAAACGAGGCGTATTGATGAGGACATGAGAATAATCTGACGTAATCGATCAGGTGCGGAAATCACATAGCGTAATCGGTTAGGACATGAAAATAATCTGATCTAATCGTTTACGGCAGAAAAATAATACCTCGTAATCGATTACGGCATGAAACGTAGCGTCATTTAATCGATTACGACATGAATAAAAGTGGTGTAATCGGTTATATATAAATAATTAGTCAAATTTAATGGCGTAATCAGTAAAACGGCTAAAACCTCTCAAAAAACAACCCAGTTTTTAGCGGCCAGCTTGGCTCTCTGCAGCAAGCGAAGCGCAAGCTCGAGACCGAAATCCAGGCGCTGCACGCCGACTTGGACGAGACAATCTCCGAGTACAGAACTGCCCAAGATAACGCGACACGGGCAATGGCTGATGCGGCAAAACTGGCAGATGCCCTCCGACAGGAACAAGATCATACACAGAATGTTGATAGGGCAAAGAAGGCCCTCGAGCAGACATTGAGGGAATTCCAGTCTCGTCTCGATGAGGCCGAGGCTGCCGCGCTTAAGGGTGGCAAGAAGGTACGGCGGTGCTTTTCGCTTAACGGGGGGGATGGGGGGGTAAATTCTTACCATTGATTTGCATCTAATTCGGATTCATGATTATGTCAACATTTTGTCGACATTTTAATGAGCTGAAATCTCGTCAAAATTATTTTCGAAGAAAGAAATAGTGCATTTTCATAGTGGTTTTAGAAGTTTTGGACATCTAGGAAGTTATAAAACTTGTCAAAATTTTTGAAAATAAATATTGTGACATTTTTTGTCATTTTTGTAGATTTTTGACGAAAAGTAAAATTTCGAAAATTGTGTAATTTTTTCGCAGCTCTTATATCGAAAAAATATGGCGAAATGCAAAGAAATTGTATATATTCAGCTAGGGCGCCATAATAAATTAGTGGACAAAAACTGGGCCACCCCAGAATTCAAAAAATCTCTAAAAATGATCTTTAGGTGATTCAACAACTCGAGAAGAGGTCCCGCGACCTGGAGAGCGAGCTGGATGGAGAACAACGACGATTCCAGCTGGCGAATAAGGACTTGAGCAAGGCCGAGAGGAAGGTCAAGGAGCTCGAGTTCCAGGTAATCGGTTACGACACTTAATTCTAGTTCTATGACACGCGCTCTCTCTCTCTGTCCTTTCACTCTCTCTGGCTCAAGCTAACTCTCACTCTTTCTCTAACTCTGACTCGCTCTATCTCCCTCTCTTGCTCCCCCTCTAAATGCCTTTATCTCTCGCTCCCTCTCGCGCTCTCTCACCCTCGCATTCTCACTCCCTCTCACTCTATCACTCTATCGCTCTCTCTCTCTCACAGACACACACACACTCTCTCTCTTTTCTTTCTCTCTCACTCTCTCTCACTCTCCTTTTGCTCTCTCGCCTAAATCTAGTCGTCACCATCCCTGTAAAACTCTAAAAAACCCTCTTCAGATGAACGAGGACAAGAAGAACTTTGATCGCCTCAACGAACTCGTCGACAAACTCCAAAACAAGCTGAAACAACAGAAGAAACAGATTGATGAAGCCGTAAGCACCAGACATTGATGATCACTGAATCCTCGGTCCAATTTTCAGGAAGAACAAGCGAATGTCCACCTCGGCAAATACCGCCAAATCCAGCATCAGCTCGAAGACGCTGAGGAGAGGGCCGACATGGCCGAGAATTCCGTCTCCAAACTACGGTCAGCATCCGGAGAAAGGGGCTGGCTGGAAGAGATTGTTAGGGAAAAACAAGCCAAAATTTGGCTGCGACAAAAATTGGGAGCCAAACTAGCAGGGATTTTGAGGAATCAAAAAATTTGACACGACGAGGGATAGCTAGCGTGGATTCTCAGAGAATTTTCCGGAATTTCTGAAGAAAGCTCTAAAAATTAGGCACACAAGCAGAGGCGCTGTAGAAAAAAAAGCAAATTAGGAGGGACAGGAAAAAGCGGGCAAACTAGCACAGATTCCTAAGGAACATCCGGGAAGCAAAGAGAATTCAGGAAGTCCAAGCAAACTAGCAGGGTTTCTTTGGAAATTGGGGAGGAAAATAGCAGAAACCCTTGCGGAAATCTAAGACAAACTAGCAGTGATTCTTTAGGAAAACCAAGGCAACTTACCAGGAATTCTTTGGGGAAAACCCAAGAAAACTGGTAAAATCTTTCAAGAACACCAAGAAAACTAGCAGAAATTCTTTGGGAAACCGGGGTACTAGCAAAGACCAATATTAAGCAAACGAGCAGGTACTCTTTAAAAAAATCCGGGAAAACTCGCAAAAACCCTTCAAAATTCTATTTTTTCAGCGCCAAATCCCGCGTCGGTTCGATGGCCCCAGGTGGTGGCGGTCTCCAGGGATCTGCCTCTGTTGCCGTCATGCGCTCTGCCAGCCGTGGAAAATTCTAAAAAACCCGAAAAAATCCCTTCGAAATAGCCAATAGCGACCAAACGAACATTTCTCTGTTTCTTTAAACCCTAAATCGTTTTTGTATTTACTTTATTTTTCGATAAATAGTGTGCCAGGCAAATTGCCATCAACAACAAGGTGATCAACAACCGACTTACGCAAATCACGCTGACTATGGACTTCGAAGTACTGTACTTCGACAGTCGAATTTTACCATGGTTCAGGCCTCACAGCGTTTTGAGCAGCAGCAACGCTTCTCCTGCTCCCTTTTGACCCGAGGCCGATCTCGCCTCAACAATTTTATCTTAGTCCATCGCGTCTCGTGCTCGCTTTTGGATTGAGGCCAGGGTTGTTCCTTTTGCGTCCGGTCCGCATCCGGTCCGCGTCCGAGACGGGACGCGTCCCGGCCGTCTCTTTAGCATAGAATTTTGCGGCCGGACGCGGACGCGTCCCGGACGGACGGGACGGACGCAGGGCGGACGGCGGACGACGAGCGTACGTACCGTCCGCGGCGCAAATTACATGATGGTAATTTGAACTCAAATTCGCACGAATTTTACACTATTCGCAAAGTTGTGTGGCTAATTTGTTTTATTGTCGTCAACGGTTCTGTTCTATTTCGCGGGGGGGAAAAAACTGTGCGGGGGGGAAAATTTTCTCCGTTTTGTTATAACTCTTTTACATGATGCTATTTTGAGTTGTAATGAAAACTCTTAGTATATTTTTTGACGTTCTATCGAATGGCATTAAAGAAATTTTTGAAAATTATCGAAAATGTCGAAAACTAGCTTTCGGCTCCACGATCCCATGTGGAAACATCGAATAAACCTTGTTTTTGCTATAACTATTTTATAAAACAATATTTTTAGATGAAATTAAAACTCTTAGTATATTTTTTGATGCTCTATCGAATGACAGGTTCAAAATATCGAAAAAATGGCGAAAATGCCGAAAACTAGCATTCCGGAACCAGTTTCAATAGTTTTTTTTTGTTTTTGCTATAACTTTTTTATATTATAATATTTTTAGCTAAAACAAAAACTCTTAGTATATTTTTGGATGCTCTATCGAATGGCGTTGCAAAAATTCCGAGAAAATAGCGAAAAACTAAGATTCCGCGAAGCATATTTTCCCCCCCGCACAGTTTTGTCCCCCCCCCGCGAAATAGAACAGAACCTCGTCAACTAATAGTAGATGTGCCGAAAATTGGCCCTTTTGCCCAGTTTTCGGCAAATTTACGCGCCAAGAAATAAAGAACTATGTGCCCTATGTTGATTTGAATCGGGCTTTCTCATTTTCTTTCACATTACGCAGCTACTTCCTGCGTCCGCCGTCCGTCCCGCCCGTCCGGGATGCGTCCGCGTCCGTCCGTCGACAACTCTGATTCTCTCCTGCTCACTTTTCATCTGAGGCAGATCTTGCCTCAACAATTTTTGAGCTCCATCAAGGCCGCTCCTGCTCGCTTCTGAGATCTAGGATATCTCCGACTTCTAATTTTATCTTCGCCTGCAGGTCCGGTGTCTGTCGAAAGTACCAACATTTATTGGCAAGTATGGCCTGACCGGCTTGTAGCACATCACAACCAAATGAGAGGAGGGGAGATTAATTGATCATAGATATGGGGATTCGATAATGAAAGGTTAATGTTGATGAAGTCGTAGTTGTAATTGTAGTTGATTCATCCACCGCCACGGCCGGTGAGCTGGCGAACAATGATCGTCGTGCAAGCATGGCAGTCACTTGGCTCTGGAAGTCACATGCTCTGAAGGCCAGGAAAAAATAACTTACGACTATGCGTCAGTCGCAGGAAACCATGGCCTTTGTAATCGACGCATTCGGCAGGGGGGTGTTTCCGGCTGCGAAAAAAAAGTATGATCCGAGGAATTAGGGAACACCTGATCTGGTTGCGGTGGACGGCGCAGAGTTGAATGCCGTGAAACGGGCGCAGCGTTTTGCTCTTCCGGGCGCATACGGCGCAGACATGGCCGCTGAACAGCAACGCGATGAGGCTGTTGTTGTTGATCACGTCGATGAGGGGCTGTTGCGGATATTCCTAAACAGATGTGTTATTACGGCCTGCCCACTCTCAATTCCCTGGTGATCTAGGCTAGCCTACAGGGTTTGATCTACTAGAAAACCTCACTGGCACAAAATCGCCCGTTCCTTCCGTGATCGAGGCAGTGGCTTCCTGCTAATCAAAGATTATTCCTGAGACCAAGAATATTGCGATTATTCCTTAGTGTTCTCTGCTAGCCTGCCCCTCTCTCAATTCCCTAGTGATCTCTGCTAGCCTGCCCCTCTCTCAATTCCCTAGTGCTCTCTGCTAGCCTGCCCCTCTCTCAATTCCCTAGTGCTCTCTGCTAGCCTGCCCCTCTCTCAAATTCTCTAATGATCTCTGCTAGTTTAGCAGTCGTAGCAGTTTAGCAGTTTAGCAGTCGCGGGGGGAAACCGACATTTTTTCGGCCCAAGTCTAGATTTTTTATCTAAATAGCGGAAGTGTTTCTAAATTGTTTATAGCTATTCCTAAACATAAAAACTTTACAAATTTTAATTAAAAAATTTAATTTTAGGTCGAAAAATCGATTTTTTCGGCCCAAAAATGACCAAATTTTCGACTTTTTCAAGCGTTTTTCTAACTTTTTAAAAAGTTTTTCCGTTTCAAATAGGCTTAAATTTTGGCTACAAAAGAATGTGAAAACACTTTATATTTGATTACTATCCCCACCAGGCACGACAAAAAAAAGTTGGTTCCCCCCGGGAATACACAAGAACCCCCCTCTCAATTCGCTAATGATCTCTGCTAGCCTACTCTGTTCGATGGCTCCAAAAACTTCACCACCACCGGCGTCACCGCGGGAGGGATGACTGGGCTTCCGGGAGTGGTCTTCGGCGTGCTGTGCGGCTCGTTCTTCTCGCTCATCTGGAAACGAACTAGTAGTGTTTACGATTATTCCTTTTTGGTCTCTGCTAGCCTGGCCTCCCAAATTTTTTTATAAGTTGGGCCGGGGGGGGGGGGGGGGAACTGCACACCAGCATATTCCCGATTCTCAATTCCCCAGGGATCTCTGCTAGTCTACTCTATTCTATGCATCATACAAACTTCACCTCGCCCTTCGGGTATTGACCAACGGGCTTGAGGTGGCTGCGGTCGTGGTAGAGAGAGCAGGCGTCGTGGCGGGCATCAGCTCCTGTAAACCAGAGGTTATTCCATTAATCGGCATATTTATTGATTATTCTCAAATTCTCTAATGATCTCTGCTAGCCAGCCCTTCTCAAATTCTCTAATGATCTCTGCTAGCCACCCATTCTCAAATTCTCTAATGATCTCTGCTAGTCTGCTCTATTCAATGAATCCTACAAACTTCACCTCTCCGTGGCCAGTGTTCTTCATCGGGGTGCCGCAGACCGCCGTGGTGGTAGACGTGGTCGTAGCCGTGGTCGTAGACGGGGCAATCGGCGTCACCGCGGGGGACACCTGCTGTAAACCAGAGGTTATTGCTTTCCATTAATCGGCATATTTATTGATTATTCTCAAATTCTCCAATGCGCTCTGCTAGCCTGTCCAAAAACTTCCAAAAACTTCCGGCTGGGGGGGTAAAGTAAACCGTAGCCTTATTGGGATACCCTGTAGTAGGATAGGTTCTAGACCGGGCCAGGTTTTAAAAGCCGCAAAGCGGTTTTCCAACCCTGGTTTGAATAATAACTTCGCGATCTGAAACGCCTACCTTCATCACCACGAGAGGACGTCGAATGACAGAGGGCTACATACAAATGGGAAACATTCAACCACATATGCAAATGTTATGGTAATTTGTTGCAATCTCATTTCTTGAGCTCCCCGCATACTTTACAGCCCCCCCCCCCACCACGTACTCTTTCTAACGAATCATAGAGTGTCCGTCAACCGATATTTACACACTGTTAAACATGGATTTATGCACAAAGTTCTACAAAAAAAACAACAATACAGATTTCGGGGACAACCATGAAAAACAATGGCAACTTCTATATGGGCGAATATGAGAGGGGAATGTGGGTGGATATACAGGGTGTCCCAAAAAAAAAAGGGGGAAAGAAAAGGGGAAAATATGAGCACAGATTTTTTATCAAATCGATCGTCGATAAGTGCCGGGGGAGAGTAGAACAATGATTTCTGGCTGTTCAAAGGGCCGTAGAAGGCAAGTCAGGCAAAAACTGACTTCTTAAGTCCTTTAAAACCTCAAAAAAAACCGATCCCGAAGCCGGATGAGTCGCCGAGAATGCCTGAGACCCCGGGGTGGAGATGAATTTTTATGGTTTTAGCCCTAAAAAATGTGCGTTTGGCCCTTTGCCAACGTCTCAAGAGATTTTAAAAGCCGGCGGAAATCGAGGCTGAACGAATGGGGTGGATGCGTAATCAATTACGCCATATATTGGACCGAATTTTGCTAGCGTAATCGATTAAACCCGTAGATTTCCGGGCCGGCCATCAAAATCCCTTCCCTACTAAACCCTAGAAAATAAGCTCCGAGTAAAAAACGATTTGGTTAATTTCGAATGATGGATGGGCAAAACAAGAGAATTATACTCGTGGACACAACACATCGTATAGAGCCGCAATAAAGAGAGACAAAAAAGAGAAGAAGACATCACAGAAAATCCCCCACAGAAACAACGAGCAGAGATTATTGGGGACGGAACAATTGGATAATGTGAGCTAACGAGACGAGGGACAACCGATTACGCGATGGAAATGGGATGATGAAGCGTTGAGACTAGGCCCATTGCTGTTGGAGGGCCTTGTTGCGGGCCAACTTCCGGCAGACGTACGATCCGATGAAGAGGGCGGCGAGCACGATGCAGATCAGAATGTGGTCGAAATCGTCCTGAAAATGCGGGAATTGGCTTGTAAAAATACTTTGGTTTTTAGAAAAAATCCAGCTTAATCAATTTTTATTCTATTATTTTAGAATCATTTTAAATGATTATTCGTTCGTAATCGATTACGCACGGGAAAGGCGGGCACGAACACGCACCTAAACTATGCAGGTTAGTTAGCGGGGATGGATTTTTCAAAAAAAAAAACCGTTTTCTCGAGGATTTGTATGTTTTTATGAATTTTTATATCTAAAAAGCGGGAAACGCTACTGAAAAGGGTTACATCACATTAATAAAGTGACCAGGGGAACGTAGAAAAAAAGTTAGTTTTTGCCCCCCCCCCCCCCCCAAAAAAAAAAAATCAAATCCGCCCGCTAAGGCACCAGAACTGGGAAAATCGGGCCCTTGATAACCCGCAAAATTCTCACCTTGAGCGCACCAGAATTTCCAGAAGGTGTGCCCCGCGTGTAGAAGATGTCGAGCCCGTAGACGAACAGCAGCGACGTCGACTCCAAGCCGGACGGCCTAAAAAATTCAATTGGAGACGCGCAAAAAACGGGAACAGGACATTTAGCGGAGCGTTCTAAGAGGCGAAAATTTTTAGTTTTAAGCCTAGAGCTGAAATATATAATCCGTTTCTAATGTGTTTTTATTGCCAGAAAGTCATAAGCACTTTTTTAAAATCTCGAAAATTCGCAAATTTTGACGTTTTTGGCCAAAAAGTAAAAAAATCTCGAAATTTTTTATCAGGTTAGATGCGAAGATGCGAAAGAAACGATTTTCACCACAAGTCTCACGTATAAGCCATGAAAAATAGGTAATTCCAGTGGAAATCGTACATGGTCAGCATCCAGAAGGCGCGAAAAAATACACAGTGCTTGTAAATAAATGTTTATCAAACGAGAAAGCCGTATCAACAAATGTCTCCAAATAACAATTGAAATTTAAACCCTGTCCTTCAGAACTCGGGCACGTCCTTGTAGTGATTGTCGCACTCGAGGAAACGAATCGAACTGCCCGCCGTCTGCAGCACAATATGGTAGAAGCCGACGCGGACTTCGAGCATCTTTCCGTCATCACGCGCCATTTGGCCCTTGACAACGTTCTCCGAATGAAACGTCAGCCATCCGTACTTCTTGACGAGTCCATTTTGACACTCCCGCTGCTGGCGCTTAAACCTTTCCTGGCTGTAGTCCTCATCCTCCTCCTCCTCGTCGTCCTCCCAAACATATTTCGGGAACGTCCGAATCCAAATCGCCTCGATTTCGCGGCTGCCGGCCAGCCACTCATCGATGTAGGTGCCACACAGCCACAAATGGTCATCGCCCCAGCCGTCGCTTTTGAAGTGGAGTCGTGGCGCGTGCAATTCGGCCATCACGTAATCACACGGGTCCAGCATCCCAAACGTCAGGGTTCCACGCGGGAAATCGGGCCCGAACATTCCCTCCATCAATCGGGCCGACCAGACGTTTTTCGGCTTGAGGATATCCTGCAGAATCTCCTTGTCCAGGTAGCAATCCTCGTCCTCAGAAAGGTAGAAGAAGTTGTCGCAAGTGAACTTCGGCTTCACCTTCGACGCTGCGGCGTGTCGAGGATGGACACCATCGAAAAGGAGATCTCGTACGTGGCGGCCATCAAGCAGCGAATTCGACTTGAGGTAATCGATGAAATACGCTGCGTTAATCGGCGGCTCCTCCTCCTCATCATCATCATCCTCATCATCTCCTTCAGGGGCAAGGCCATACCACTTGGCCAAAATGGCCACATCCGACGGGTTCACAGCATCCATCAATGACAGGAAGCCATTGACAAGCGGATCAGGGTTCACTTCCCAAATCGGATCCAGCCCTTCCACAGCCTTGTTGATAGCATTTCGTCTGTGGTTTACAAAATCGATGGGAATGCTATGGCCAATGGCGTTCAGCTTTTCATGACATCCTTCGACTTGCAATAGACTGCCGAAAGCCAAAGGCTCGAGGATGATCCTGGTCAATTCGGTTGGAAACTCTGTCAATCCACGAGCATCTGGCACGGCCTCGTCCTTTTTGTAATTGTCGATTTTCGCGTTGTCGATCAGCAGGCCGGCATCCATCTCCCCGTAGCACTCATAATCGATGCAGAAAGAGTCGCCGGAGATGAACACGTCTTTCCAGTGCTTCTCTGACTCGTAGACCATATCCCATAGTTGATCATTCGAGTCGGCGAGATCCACAAGAGAGCGAGAATCCAGCAATCCGACGATCACGTTGAAGATGTTGGGCGGCAACTTGAGCAGCCAGCTCCCTTCTCCTCCAATTCGCGACTTCTTGGGCATGTCGTTGCTGCTTGATTCCTCCTCCTGCTCTGCCATCGTCGACGGATCGTTCAGGCGTTTCATACCTGCAAAAAGCAGAGATAAAAAAACGCATCCTAGTCGTGAAGCAGGCAAAAAAGACAGACAGACAGGCAGCGCGCTTGTTTTGAAGCATTAAAAAAGAACCGGAAATGCCGGATTGACAGACCCGAAACGGAAGCTCTAAGGTGACGCGCGCAGGTGCTGCGTATGCTTAGTCTTACGCCGATCTTTCTCAGTTCTCTCTCTGCTGGCTTGGCGGATTTCATAAAGTATCTACAAGCCCTAAACCGATAACACTCAAGTGTGTACACGTTAAGAATTTATCGCAACCGAAATACTGTGGCAATAGGCCACGCAAAAGACAATATGAAACCGCGAAGAGAATCGGGTGGAAATAAGAGAATCAGCGAGCAGTTACACATTAAAAATCAGATGAGAGGAGAAATCAAAAGGGTGATAAAGTTCTGCGCATCGTTATCCATCGGCGAGGTCGGACTGCCCGAAGAACTCGGCGGCGATGACGATGAACAGCGAGTACTTGTCGTGCAGCGTCTTCCTGAAAAAATAGAGCTTATGGAGGGAGGGGTGCACTGGCGTGTTAGCGGGGGGTCAACTAATTTTCTCAGTAATCTTCCCCGAACGGCCCTGTAACAAAATCCAAATCAGTTTTATAGCATTTTATAGCGTTTTTCGATATAAAAAGCCTATAGAAATTTAAAAAATGTCGAAATGATTACAAAATGACAAAATTCATAAAAATATCATCAACAGGCAGGCAGAAGAAAAATTTATTTGACACCTGCTAACAGTCCAGTACCCAATTTTTCAAATTCCAAAAAAGTCCAAAAATTCACCGTCGCTCCTCGTCGGCCACCAAATACTTCAGGTAGGAGCGCTCGAGCCGCAGGAAGCGGATGAAGTCCCGAAGCGCCGCCGTCACGTCGTGAAGTCGATTGTGCTCCAGCTAAATCAGAAATTTCAAGAAGACTGAAAAAAACGTACCACTAGCAAAACGGCGTAGCACCAGTGCTGATGCTCCTCGTCGAAGCACAGCGTGTACCGTTTGGCCGCCTAAAAAAGGAGGCTATCGTATCGCAAAGCAAACCGGAACTTACCTCTTCATCAGCTTTCGACGTCTTTTTCGTGATCGCCGACAAGAATTGGGTGAGGCTGCCGTTGCTGTGGTAGTCGAGCTTCACCTAAAAATTAATAAATTTTCAAATTTCCTATTAAAAATACCTTTTTCGGCACGGAAGGCTGGTGCTCCTCGCTGCCGCTGGGAGACTAAAATGAGAACAGTTCAGGCTAAAGAATATTCGCTTACCGCGCACATAACGTGCTCCGACTCGGGCACTTCCATTTCGTTGTCCTTCGATTTGGCTTCTTCCGGCTCGTCTTGCTTCGATTCGGCGGTCTCCACCTTGCCCTCAACGTCTGCCTCATCAGCCTTCGAATCGTCCGTCTTCAAATCTTCGGTAAATCCCTCATCGGTTTCCGGGCTGGCGGCTTCGACGCGGGCAGGGCCCTAAAAACTTTCATCAAAAAAGAAGGGCTTGCGCATTATCGGGGGAAAACATCTTTTTTTTCTTGCGAATGCTTTCAAAGTGGTGTGAGCGGTTTTTGACTATCCCTCAACGTACAAACTTTACAAATTTGTATCAAAAAAAATACAAAACAAATAGATTTTTGACCAAATTTCTATTCATAAAATTTTTTAAAGTTTTTGGATTGTGTTTTTGGTTGAAACATCGTGATCTTTTACCAAAAAAACTAACAAGATACTTCCTTCTAAGCTACTAGATATTTCTAGTACCTTCACAGAAAGTTTCGGCCCCGATAATGCGAAAGAAGCAAAAAGGAACTCGAAATCGAAAACGATATACCTGTTGACCAGCCTCTTCCACTTCCTCCTCCTCATCCGATCGCTCCTCGAGCGGCAGCGTGGCCTTCTGCGCCTTCTTCTGCATCCTCACCAGCGTCCGTACGACAACTTGGAAAATGTTCTCCACCTAAAATCCCGAATTTTCAAATCAGAATAACCTTACCTGAACGCGGTCCCAGGAGAAGACGACGCCAGGCAATGGCGGTGTTCCCTTGTGATCCGGGAATTTGGCGAGCTGCTCCTCGGTGATCTCGGCAATGGGCTTTTTGAAGAGAAGGGCCTCCCATCCGTTCCAGTCAGTCTAAAAAAAAACGTAAAAAAATCAACCGAAATAATACCGGTGTGGGCCAAGGATATTCCAATAGATTTGCCGCGCCGTGACGATGTGCCGATGCCTCGCGCTGGGTGATGAAGATTTTTAACTAAAAGGGAAAAACTCGAAAAGTTAGTTTATTAATACCCGCTCGGCCCTCCAGGCTGGGGATGCGGCATCGGGGTCTGCGTGCTTGGGCTTCTTCTCGGTTTGTGGCTCGTCCTTCACTTCATTCGTGGGCACGTGGGCAACCCAGGAGATCCGCTCACGCCCGGCGGCTACCTAAAAGTTTATGAATCAAAATAATATCAAATTTAAGTCGTAAACTGTCAGTAAAGCAATAGGCCTATAGTACAAGCTTTTGCTCTTAAAACCGTAAAATTTTACCTGCGTCAAGTACTCCTCGGCCGTCTGCGGCGCCTTGTCACAGTCGACATCCGCCAGACGGACGCCCTTGATCATGGGCAGCGCCTCGCGCATGCTCATCTTCTGGAAAATGCGGCTAGATACGTGCCGCAACGTAAAAAAAGAGAACAAGATATTGAATAACAACAAATTTTGGGTTTTTGCTGCTACAAACTTTTGGCAGAATCCTACACGCTATTACTTATAATAAAAAAAGAGGGGGCATTAGGAAAGGCACATGTAAAAGTAACAAAAGCTTTTGCCGGGGCCAGATAACCAAGAGCACGCGTTTCACTGGCAAGGCAAATGAACCTGTAGAATCTCTGGATAACCTTTGGCTAGCTAACTCGCTCGATAAAGGCTAGCTAATTCGACTATTACACTTTCATATTCCAGCGAGAAATGGTCGAGAAATTAGCTAAAAACCCGATTAACCCGAGGAAAAAAGCATATCCGCCCGTTACCTGATTTTTTAGCTATACATTGTTAATTCACCATATAGATAATTGATTATAGAGTATTTGAACAACTTTCGAGGGGGTAAATGATATATTAGAAGCTACAAAAACGTTTTCTCTTACTAGTAAAACGAGTGCGGCCATCACGTATGGTCCCCATTTTAGTTAAAGAAGAGATGTTAGGAAAATCACATTGCAAAAGTAACAAAATCTACAAAAAAATTACACAAATTTGCGACGAAACTGCGAAAAAAAACGGTTCCGAAAAGTGGCCGGCTTTCTGAAAATATCTCCGTTCCGCCTCGACACTATCAACACCCGTACCCTGTAGGCTTGGCAACATCCGTATTTTCTTTTGACCGCGCCGATGATGCTTGGTTCCACACTAATCTTTTCAACTATAAAAATTGTTATTAACTTTACAACAATTATAACCGCGTTTTTTAGATGAAAATACATCTCTTATTGGCCGGGCTGGCCATTGGCGCCTCGGCCCTCTACGAGGATCAAGTCGGCAAATTCGACTGGTCGGTTTTCTGGACTAAAAAATATAATTAGATGTTTTTAGGCGCCAGCAATACGTCGGTTGCCCCACGCAAGTGCAAATCGACCGTCGCGGCAAGCTGGACCGGTACATCGTGTCCACCGCCGAGAATGTTGTCGCGTCGCTGTCGATGAACACCGGGGATATCGGTTTGTTCCAAATGGCTGGTGTTTTCTAAAAAATATTTTCCAGTCTGGCGCAAGGTGCAAGAAGACGTCGGCAACAAGGAGCTGAAGCATCCGCTCGTCTTTTCCGGCCAGAAAAATGGTACAAGCGTGTTTTTCTTGCTGGAATATTCGGTTCCAGTGATCTGCTCGCTGTCCGAGTCCGGGAAAATGGTTCGACTCTGGGCGAAGCGGGACGGCGGATTTGTTGGGCAGCAACTTTTGGGGACCGTTGAGAGTTCTCAGTGAGTTTTGGGCCTTGAAAACTAGTTAAATTGTTTTTAGCGCCCCATTCGTTACGACAACAGCCGACACTTGCCTTGTCCTGTCGCACAATCGAGCCATCGCCTTGTCCCTGAAAGACGCGAGCAAGCTGTGGGAGGTCGAGCTGAGGAAGAGGTAATAGAAAAAAATATATAACTTTTTCTTAGGATCCAGTTTTTCAAATAGACATTTTGAAGGTGTTTTTGAACAGTTTTTGCCTTCCTAAACGTAAAACTTTACAAATTTTGCTTAAGATACAAAATTACCGATTTTTCGATCAAAAGTTCGCCTTTTTCTAAAATTTCTTGTTATAAAAATAGTCGGCTGCCCCCGATAATCCAAATGATCCATTTTTCTAGTGACTGGGTGGCCGCGCGAGCGTTCGATGGTGGATTCGCGATTGTTGGCGGGTTGAAGGAGAACAATGAGGTGGAGATGGCGTCTAAAATGTCTAATTACTTTTTAGGTCCACGTCAAATGGGTCGACACCAAAGGCATGCAGACGCTGAACAAGATCCTCGACGTCAACTCGTTCAACCCGCAGAAGTGAGGGGGATCCGCTGATTTATTTATTTTTTTAGGGTCGCTTTCACGGGCAGCCACCTCGTCGGCTTCTGGGATTCGACCGTTTACGCCCTGAACATCCTTTCTGATGGGCCGGACATAAAAATCGAAGCGAAGGGTGTTGAGGAGACCGTTTTCGAGGTAGATTGGCTTGAGACTTGCTCTAAATTGGTTTTAGACCTTCGCGCTGACGTCGGAGAATTTCGTGGCGATCCGTACGAAAAGCCGAGTCCATATCCTCGACGTGATCAAGGGATTCTCTAAGGTATCTTCGATATTTTAAACTTTTGGTTCTTTTAGTTTACCGGGGAGGGCGCATTTCAACGAAGAAAAACTTACTCAAAGTCGAAAAACTAACTAAGAACGTTAAAAAAGTCGAAATCGGCCATTTTCGTCAAAAAAATAGGATATTTTTGTATATATTAATAAAAATTTGTAAAGTTGTCACGATTAGGCAAGTTTTATCGTTGAAATTTCAGGTGTTCTCTCTACCCTCTGAAGCCGAGGCCGTCTCCGAGTACGTCAATAAGGAGGGCAAACGATTCCTGGCATCCGTTCATGGAAATCGGCTTTCACTTTATCACGTCGATGGCGACAAGGAGCTGCTCAAGGTTTGTGGCCTCTGAAAAGCCACAAAATTGCTCAAAAATTTTTTTTTAAACGCTGTCAAAAATAGCTTTTTTAGGATGTGGTCTTCGATTCGGAGCTGAAACGCGCCCCGGCCAAGCAGCTGATCATCGGCGGCGGGGACAAGGAATGGGAATTCTTGGTGATTGGTAAGGAAATTTGTTAAAAATGGATTAAATTTTTTCAGGCGCTGATTGCCGCACGGACCACGTCGTCGCCGATATTACCGTCAAGAAGGCGGCTTTGGAATGGACTAGGTACTCTATAAAATAAAATTTAATGCTTTTTTGCAGAGAGGAAGGGCTGACCCGTATCGGAAGCGTTGAACTGCTCGACCTGCCGCTCAGCGAGTCCCAGGCGGCTATCGAGACCGAATTCGCCGTTGATGAGAGTTGGTTTAAGCTCTGATTCATGATTTTTGTGTTTTTAGAGAACATCCTCGCCTCGTTCGCCCATCGCATCTTCTCGCAGCTCGACCAGTTCAAGAAGCTCATCGCCCGCTCGGCTGATATGGCTTTGGAGGTGAATTTTAAGGTTCTTTCACGTTATGGGGGGGGGGGGGGGGGGGGCTTTTTTTCTAGGGCCGAATTTTTCATTTTTCAATAGCGGAGTCTCGATCTTTTTTTTGCTATTCCCAAACTGTCGATTTTTCGATCAAACATGGTCAATTTTTGACCAAATGTTTTAGTTTTCAAAAGGTTTTTAGCTAAATCCAGCTTTGTTTTACTAAAAACTAATAAAATACTTGATTCTGTGTTTTTTGCATTCCTAGACGTACGAAATATGGCTCCCACGTTAATGCGCAAGAATCGAACTTCACTGTCAAGATTTTTCAAAACAATTTTGTTTAGCTTGCCCTGAACATGAAGCAGATGAAATCGGGCTCATTCTCCGACCTTCTCAATTCGGTGCGCCAGTCGGCCCGAAAATCCCATTCTGGCGGTCAACCCCTCGAGCGCGACGTCTTCAATCTGCGCAAACTGATCGTGGCCACGTCGCTGGGAGGGTCGATTTACGCGCTCGACAACCAGGATGGAGCCGTCGTCTGGCGTCGCTACATCGGCGCCGATATCCAGGGATTCGAGACGATCGAGGGGAAAACGAAGGTATTTTAGAGGCTTCAGCGTGGCTATTTTCGCCCGTTTTGCTAATTTAATGACAGCATTTTGCAAAAAAAAACTACACAAAAATTGCTGCGAAAATTGCAGGTTTTTTTACTAGCGATAACCCCTTGCTATTTGTAAATTTTTTTTGGTCAAAGGTGGTTGTTTTTTGTGGTGTTTTGTCAATGGTTTCATTTGTTATAGCGACAAATTCGCTCCTGGACTGTCAGCGGGGGGAACACTTTCGCTAATCTTGGTGCTAACAAAAGATAAATAATTTTTCTCGAATTTTGGAAGGTTTTTTTGCTATAAAAAGCCCATCAAATTGCGAATCTTCGATTTTTTTGGATCAAAAATGCATGAAAAAGACTAAAATAGCAAAAATTTGGAATATTCAGAAGGGTTAAAAATATTTTTGTAGATTTCCAGCGATCAAAAACTACTAAACACGCTATAAAAATGCATTATTTGTCAGCCATAGAAAAAATATGGGCGGAAAAACAAATTCAGTCCAGTCCAATTTTTTCTTCAGATCCCAATCCTCGTGCAACGAACGACGGCCTTCTACAATTTCGACGCCCAAATCGTCGTCGCCTACAAGCGGAACGGCATCGGGCATCTCCTCTTCCTCAACCCCGTCAACGGCAAGGAGGTCGACCACCAGACGGTAATTTTTGTCGGCTAAAATTTAAATTATTTCGTTAGGTAGACAACGCGCGTCGCATCGACCTGCTCCCGTTCGTTGATGGCGACCATTTGCACCACGTCATCACCGTTGATCGGACTAATCAGGTAGTTTAATCTTTAAATTTTGAAATTCGTAATTTTGTAAATTTAATTTAGTGGATTAAAATTTAATTTTAAATCTTAATTTTGTGGTCTAGGTATCGATCTACCCGAAGCTGTCGGCCGACGCGATTGAGAAGGCCCCGCCCGTCCACCTCTTCGACGTCAACGGCGTCAACGGCAAGGTCACCGGCTATAAGTACGTTTATTACTACCGCAAATTGGTTACTTGGCGATTTACCTCGCGTAATCGGTCGTTATCTATCAATTTTGGGCTTAAAAAGCGGTCTTTGATGATTTTCTTTGCGTTTTCAGCTTTCCTAAACGGTAAATTGACCCAAAAATTTTTTTTAATAGCGTAATTGATCATTTTCTATCAATTTGGGCCTAAAAACGGTTTTTGGGGGGTTTTCTTTGCAATTCTGTGCCCTGCCGAAGCGTTAACGGCGTTTATAGTACGATTTTTTTAGTGTCGTAATCGGTTCATCACATAATTTCATTGCGTAATCGATCGACACCTCGATTCTGAGGCTAAAAACCGCCGTTTTGGACTAATATTTGCAATTCTGGCGACTCCGAATTGCGCAGTAATGACGGATTTCGTAAAAAGATAATCAAGAAATGGGTTAAGAAAATGTTAAACGTTAGCTAATAGCAACTTTTAGGCTCGATCTGACGACGAATCGACTGACCGAAACGTGGGCCCATCAGCTGCCGCATTGGGAGGATTCGACGGTTGTGGCAATTGCTGGCAAGCCGGCTTCTGGTGCGTGCATTTTCCTGTAGCACTCAATCGATCAACAACGACTCCAACCCGTTCGGCCACATCCAACCCGAACGGCTTCAAGTCGTCGCGAGATTCTGTCGGGCACTTTCCTGAGGTTCTATCGACTAGATATAGCTTTTAATTTGTAGTCTCGAAGCCTGTAGATTTTGTAGCCTGTAGTCTAATCCCATTCCTTTAGAGCGCACCCACTCTCAAGGCCGTGTCCTCGCCGACCGCTCCGTCCTCTACAAGTACGTCAACCCGAATCTGATCGCCGTCGGGTTGTTGGCCAAATCCGCGCCCCAGCTCAACATCCATCTTTTTGGTTATTTTATTACTTTTTGATGACCGAATTCTTATTTATTTAAATTTCTAATCGATTTTTTAGACTCGGTCACCGGCCAAATCGTCCATTCTGCTCGCTTGCCGAAGGTGACGGCCCCCGTCTACATGGTCCACTGCGAGAATTGGGTTGCGGTCAGTTTCCTGGAGATTTTTTTGGAGAGCAAACTGGCAGAGATTTTTTAGGAAATTTCGGTAGCCCTTTAAAAATTAATCAAAAAATCTGATGTTGCTAATAAAGCCTAAAAAAAAGGTTTTTAGTACGCGTACTGGACGGAGAAGGGCCGCCGAACCGAGATCGGCATCCTCGAGCTGTTCGAGGGCGATGAGCAGCAACATGTGGTAATTTTGGATTCAAGTTTCGAAAAAATGTGTTTTTTTAGGAAACGTTCGACTCGGAAGAGCCGCTGAAGCGCCCGCTGCACGTCGAGCAGGCGTCGTTCATCTTCAGCCAGGGCATCAGCTCGATGGCCGTCACCGAGACGGGTACGTGGCAGAGGTTTTTGGCGAATTAAATGGAGTGGATTTTGGGCTCCTCTATTTTTCAAAAGGTTTTTGTAGGAGCAGAATTAGCTCCAAATTAAACTTAGTTACTTCCCTAGTTTTTCGCGGTTTTAGAGGTGCAGAATTCTCAAAAGAATTATATCAATTGAATTTGCAGATACATTTCTCGATTTCGTTAAAATTCCAAGAAATTAGTTTTATTCGATAAAAGATTATCTTATTTTTGTGACACGACCGTGGTCTTTTTCAGAGCAAGGCGCCTCGAACCGCGCGATCCTCGTCTCGCTGCCGTTCGGGAACATTTTCGAGGTGAACCGCCGCATCCTGGACCCGCTTCGCCCGATGGAGCTGACCCCGGAGATGAGGGAGGAGGGCGGTTTCATCCCCTACATGCCCGAGATCCCGATTGCCACCGAGGAGATGCTCAACTACAATCAGACCGTCCACCACGTCAACGGCATCAAGACTGCGTACGTTTTTGGCGTCAATTTTTAATTTGATTTTTTTTAGGCCGTCCGGCTTGGAGTCGACGTCGCTGGTGTTCGTCTACGGGCTCGACCTCTTCTACACGAGGGCCACGCCTTCTGGAAATTTTGATGTGCTCAAGGTGAGGATTTTGGAGTTGAAAAGGGCCCGATTAATGATTTTTCGGTTCTGGTTCGTTATCGGGGGGGAGGGGAGGGGGAGTGAATTTTAGCAGTGGAAAAACTAATTTTCTTTAGACCTGAAAAATTCATGAAAATCATTAAAATTATCCGGAAAAGGGTTTTTTGGTTGAAAAATCCACCCCGCTAACGAACTAGCACCGATATAGACGCGTGTGTTCGTGCTCGCTTTTACCCTGCGTAATCGATTACGGCCGATTTGTAACGTAAAAATAAATTCTAGCTAGTTTTTGGTTAAAAATACAAAAAATAGTTCCAACCCGATTCCCCCATTTTCAGGACGACTTCGACCACATTCTGATCTGCATCGTGCTCGCCGCCCTCTTCATCGGATCGTACGTCTGCCGGAAGTTGGCCCGCAACAAGGCCCTCCAACAGCAATGGGCCTAGTCTCAACGCTTCATCATCCCATTTCCATCGCGTAATCGGTTGTCCCCCCTCGTTAGCTCACATTATCCAATTGTTCCGTCCACAATAATCTCTGCTCGATAATTCTGTGGGGGATTTTCTGTGATGTCTTCTTCTCTTTTCTCGTTTTATCTCTCTCTCGCTCTCTCTCTCTCTCTCTCTCTCTCTCTCTCTCTCTCGCTCTCTCTTTATCGCGGCTCTATACGATGTGTTGTGCCCACGAGTATAATTCTCTTGTTTTGCCCACCCATCATTCGAAATTAGCCAAATTGTTTTTTGCTCGGAGCTTATTTTTTTAGGGTTTACTAGAGAAGGGATTTTGATGGCCACCCCCGGAAATCAGGGATTGATCGATTACGCTAGGAAACTCGGCACAATATATGGCGTAATTGATTACGCTAGTCTATTTTCATAGCGTAATTGTTTAGTCTCGATTTTTTCCACCGTTCGTTTGGATCCCTAGAAACGTTGGCAAAGTGCCAAACGCACATTTTCGAGGGCTAAAACCATAAAAATTCACCGCCACCCCAGGGTCTCAGGCTTTCTCGGCGACTAGTCCTGCTTCCGGATCAATTTTGCAGGGGTTTTAGAAGGCCGCAGAAGTCAGTTTTGGCCTCGAACGCTATAGATTTGGCTTCCCCGGCCCTTTAAAACCCGCCATCAATCGTTTTTCTCTGCTCTACCCCGGCACTTATCGACGATCGATTTGATACAAAATCTGTGCTCATATTCTTTCCCTTTCTTTTTTTGTCGTTAGCTGTCGACTATATCCGCCCACATTCCCTTCTCATATTCGCCCATATACAGGGTGTCCCAAAAAAACCCCCCCCCCCTCTATAGGCCGTCAATCGGATCGGATCGGAATGATTTTTATACCAATCGAAAGCTCTCGGAAAGGCGAGAAAACAAGCGGGTTTCGTTTTCTAAGATTTAATCTGATTCTATCGATATTTCAGGTTTTCCTAAAAAGCCGGGAATTTTTCATCAGGAATTTCGCAATTAGCATGCAGATCTCGCATAAATCAGCAGTTTTCATGGTTTTTGGACATAAAATTAGCAAATAAAAAGGCTTAATTAAGAAATTCAACCCTCCTTGTTTTCTCGCCTTTTCGAGAGCTTTCGATAGATACCTAAATCGTAAAAATCGGAATCGACTGCGGACCGCTAGGTAGGGGGGGTTTTTGTTTGGGACACCCTGTAGAATTATGCCATTGTTTTCCATTGTTGTCCCCCGAACCTGTATTGTTGTTTTCTGTTTTTTTTTTGTAGGATTTTGTGCATAAATACGTGTTTTAAAAGTGTAAGTCAAGGATTGTCTGGCACCCTATTATTCGATAGAACAGAGTATATACAACGCGTTCTGGATTTGCTATCATAATTTCGAAATATCTTAACGCCGAGATTTTTTTTGCATCTTGATTTCGAAATTCTGACATTTTCCAAATGACATTCTGACATTTCGGCGTTATGAAATTTCGACGTTTTGGTAGTTCCATAGCTTGAAGCTTCCACATCGAATGGTATTTTAATTCTTTTTTTTCAGGTATAAGCAGGACCGAGCGACGCGATGACTACGCACGAAATGAAGGGCGATAATGTCAACTCTGAGCCGAAGAAGACGTCACGAATTGGAGGAGGAGAAGGATGCTGGCTGATGCAGTTGCCGCCGAACATCTTCAACGGCATCGCCGGATTGCTGGATTCTCGCTCCCTTCTGCAGCTTGCCAATTCGCATGATCAACTGCAAAAGATGGTGCGCGAGTCGGAGAAGCACTGGAAGGATGTGTTCGTCTCCGGACACACTTTCTGCATCGATTATGAGTGCTACGAGAGACTAGACGCCAATCTGCTGCTCGACAACGCGAAAATCGACAATTACAAAAAGAACGAGACCGTGCCGGATGCTCCTGGATTTATGGAGTTGCCCACGGAATTGGTGGAGCTGATTTTGGAGCCTCTGGATTTCGGCAGTCTCTTGCAAGTCGAAGGATGCCATGAAAAGCTGAAAGCCATCGGCCACCGCATTCCCATCAATTTCGTCAGCCAGCAGCGTGATGCTTTCGACATTTCTGACAAAGAGCTGGAACCGATTTGGAAAGTCGAGTCTCGCCCGGTGCCGACCTTCAAGTCGATGCTGAATGACTTTGCGGCCTCTGGATTTCTGAGTGAACTGCTTGATTTCCTTCCCGAAGAACAGGTTGAGAAAGAAGAAGAGCCACTGATAAATGTGGTGCCGCCGATCGACTACGTCATGTCGAATTCGCTGCTTGACGGCCGACACGTCCAAACCGTCCGCTACGAAGGTGTCGATCCATCTCGATGCGGCCCGCTTCAATCAAAGTCGAAACCGAAATTCACTTGCCAGAATTTCTTCTACCTTCGCGATGCGACCGACTGTTATTTCGACAGGGAGATTCTGCAAGATGTCCTCAAGCCGGAAAACGTCTGGTCAGCCCGGCTAATGGACTGGATCTTCGAGCTAGACCTTTCGAAACGTTCGCTGAGGTTAGGGATGCAAGGCCCGGACGAACTGATGCGAATTCGCGATTTGCAAGCCCCGCGGCTTTCGTTTGAAAGTACCGACTGGGAGGCTGGCATTTTGCGGTTGATGTCTGGGTACATCGATGAGTGGATGACCGGACGTCGCGACATCGAGACGGTTTGGATTGAACGGTTTGCCTTGGAAAACTGCTGGGAGCTTGCCTACTATGAATGTGAGCTGAATTTGGAAGCTGGACTCACAGCGCTTCTGAATGGCCTCGTCGAGAAATATGGATGGCTGTCGGTTCATGAGGAGAACGTCGTCAAGGGCCAGCTGAAGCGTGATGACGGCAAGATGCTCGACATCCGGGTCGATGCCGATGACATCGTGATGCGGACGGCGGGCGATTCGATTCGTTTCCTCGATCTGAACACTCTCTACTGGGATGTGCCCGAATTTTAAAATATCCAAAAGCACGAGAGTTCAAGTGTTTGTTGTTGTTTTTCCGGAGTTGTTGTAATTGCTAATTTCTCGTTTGATAAATATTTATTTACAAATCTTGCGTCTTTTCATAAACTATGGATGATAGCCAAGCAAGATTTTGAGGAGAATCGGTGGCTACAGAATGCTTGATTTGTCGCGTGTGAAGCGGCTTTGAAAACTGGAGCGTGATAATGCGTGAACGAATTTGGCTTTAGGCATTTTTAGCTTTTGCTCTAGACAGTAGCTTTTGCCGGGAATTGAAAAGAGAGCGCGAGGTTTCTCGCTGCGAATTCGCCGTCAGAATTTTGACAATTTGGGCGTGGTATTTTGAAAGTTTTTGCTGGATGCAGTTCTGTGGTTCTTTCGCATTATCGGGGGTGGGGACCAACTTCTTTTCTACAGGCCCAGAAATGAGTCGTGTAATATTAAGTATTTTGGTGCTAATGCACTTGGGGGGGCAGTCCGGATTTTGACTACGAGACGCTCCAAATGCCGTTTTTTAAACTCGAAGCCTCTGGAAAAGCTAAGCCAAGCCTAAGCCTAGGCTTAGCTTCATACAAACAAAGCCTGAGCTTAGTTTGAGCCAAGCTAAGCTTAGCTCTAAGCTTAGCCCTAAATGACCCTATTTTGACCACCTGAGGCAATTTAAAGCTTAAGTTAAGCTTAGCTTGGGCTTAAGCTTAAGCCTAAGCCTAAGCTAGGCTTAGTTAAAGCTAAGTTAAGCCTAGGCTTAAGTTGAAAACCAAGTGGCTTAAGCGGAGCGTCTCGTAACCCCTTACTACCAATTTCGACTGCCCCCCCAAGTGCATTAGCACCAGTATTTTAATAGTTTAATAGCTTTTGGGCTAATGTAACCTTATTTTGAGTAGAAAACAAATAAAAAACTGGGACAGGTGTTTTTAAATTAAAAAAAATCGGCCATTTTGGGATAAAAAGCGAGCTTTTTGTATTTATTAATGAAAGTTTATAAAGCTTTGTAAAACGTTTTACAAAACCTCATTTTATCATTTAAACGATAAAAATGACCAAAATTTCAACTTCTTAATACCGTTTTCTCACTGTTTTGAAGGTTTTTCTGCTTCTAATGGAGTTAAACTGCGAAAAATAGTATGAAAACCCTTTTTATTTAATTACTAAGCCAGCCTGGACCCGTAAGAATAAGTCGTTAGTGCGAAAATTTCATAGTGCATTTCTGGGATTAGAGAAAAATTTTGCCCCCCGATAATGCAAAAGAATGGGATTGGAACTATCGGCTCGGCTTCACGTCCCGATTTTATAGGCTGGTCAGAAGAAGAACTGGGTGCAAACTTGCGAGCAGATTTTTTCGGAGAAAGGGGCATGTTTTAGGGGGGAATATCCTTCCTTCTTCTGCTGCCAGCCCAGCCATATGTTGGCACAAAAGTTCTGACGGACCAGGTCCACGCCGAAGAAGCTTTTCCGGGAGGAGAAGCTGAGCAGGGGCCAGCCAGGAAGGGACTAATTGGATTGGCCACATGGGAGGGGGAAGGGTTGGCCCCTTGGACCTCTGGGGTCTAGTCTTCCAGGGCCCCCAAAAAGCCGCGAACACCGGTGTGGGGTGGTAATTGACACCCATCCGGCCCCGAAAGCAACGCTACACTCCTATGAACACGCCATTTATAAGGGGCCGAATCGGATATCCACCCCGTTTTTGGCACTTCTCAGAGTATTTCGGGAGTTTTTTTTTTGGCTTGAGGTGTCTGATTTTGGCGTCATCCTAACGAGGGTGACCTGACGAGATCTGGGTCGTGCTCATTTGGCAGCTGGTGCTTCTGAAAATGCCGTAGCCTTAGAAATCTACTTTTTTCTAAGTTTTCGATTTTCCATCGCAATTTTCACTGATTTTGGATTTTTCGTGAGCTGTAGGAATTGTTAAGCCCCTTTTAAAGCGGATACGGTAGCGTGGTGCGTATTCTAGCGTAGTGGAATGTTGTGTAGCCTTAAAATTCTAAGAAAATCATTTTCATTCATTCCTCTTTAGAATTAAATAAGGGTT